TTGAGACTTGAGCTTTGGACTCCAAGCTCTGGCCAGCTTTTAGGGTGTGTGGTTCTCACTGTCTCAGATGAGCCACAACATACTGAAGCATGCGGTCAGAGTCATGCATATCATGTGTACTTTCACAGCGTCGCTTCCAAATCCAGCTTGAGTGGTTACCCCTTAGGGCGCTTAGGGATCCAATCACATCCTCACAAGGTAGATACAACACCCAACATGCCCCAACCACCTTCTTTTGGGATGTGGTTGGAGCCCTAGGGGGCCCTTGCATTTTTGCGCAGGAGTGCTATCGCGTGGTGGCGAGCGCTTTGCCCAGATGTGGGCAAACCTTCATGCAGCCAGTGTGTGACCTGGGCATTGGTGTGCTTTTTTCTGCGCAATAACGGCGCACCCCACAGTGCGCTCCACAGCTTTGCTCAGCTTCCGGACAGAACAACATTTTGTGAGGGAAACACGATCTGGACCACCCGACCTTTTGAAGCGAAACAAGAAAAATCAGGGGACACAAACATGGGATTTTACAAAACATCAAGGTTCTGCAGGTTCTGCTGGGAACTTGCTGAGTGCACACATTTGTGTTTTGCTTCCCTAGGTATCCAAGTAGCTCCTTCGGTGTTCGGACCCTCCTGGCGCCTAGAGAAAAGTGTCTCCAATATTATCCAATCACCTTCTCAGAGGGTCTAGTCTAGCGTTTAGGGCGGATGGCTTCAGGTGATATCTTGGCGGAGCTGCCGTTCTTCGGAGCCTGGGACGATGGCCGGCGAGTGCCAGGCGGATGGCGAGTGCCGGCGAACTCGTGTGGCGCCATAGATCCCAGTGCATCCACTGATTGGCTTACCTGGGTAGCTCAATCCATCCCTGGGAAGCTCAATTCATGGATGCTTTGACCTACCTGGTAAGGTCGGAAGATTGACCTACTGTACCTCAAAAGAATTGGCCTTTATATGCCTTTATATGACTCAATGAAAATCCCCGGACGATCCATGTGCTTGGAAAGACGATGAGACATAGTGACCTACATTGACCAGCCAAAACCACCTGTCATGTAGGCCATATTGGTCCGGATTTTCTTTGTTCCGGATTTTCTTTGGGATCAGGTTCTTGATGGCTATATGGCGAAAAAGCCTTCGTCATTTGGATGAAATCCACTGTGGTTTGGGAATTGATGCCCTGCAGTTCAGCCGCCTCATTGGCTGTGTTGGCAACACTATGGGCCCATGGGGGACATGGGGTGCTGTTCTACTAGTGGTGCAGACACTGAGACTCGATTGCTCTTTCCCTCTCTGTCCCTGCGGGCCCTGCATGTCAATCATCCAACGCAGAAACCAAACGCCCCAGTCTTCTCCAAAGAGAGGTTTCTTCGCCAAAGAGCTGGTGCAAGACCTCCTCGACACCCCAGTCTTCGAGGGCGGCCGTGCCTGTGCCCCTTGGCCGAAGCCGCTGCAGGCACGAGCCGCAGCAGCTGGTCAGATCGGATCTGGATCGGAGGATCCATGGATCCACCTTCTCCAGGCTCGGTTCCGCACCCTCCAAGCCTCAAGCAATTCTCCTTCACCCTCTTGGAGTATATGCGGATCCGGGATTGATCGTATAATTGCATGAACACTGCGCTTTGGTGACCCTCCCTGAAACAATCATGGAAGTGGAAAACCACCGGTTTGTAGAGGAAAACAGTCTTCCAAGAGGCCAGTTTCCACTCCCATGATTGTTTCAGGGAGTGTATGTACAAAACGGCCGTCTCTTTTTCTCGCATGATCAGATGGGCTTTGCCGAATGCGCTGATCTTGCATCAGCCTGGCCTTAGCCTTGCATTTATCTATATATATATATACATCTAAACCACCGGTCTGCTCGTGGAGGTCTGAGGTCTCTACACAAGCTTCGATCATTTGGAGCTCTTCTGACATCAATGAGCCAACACATGGTCTGTCGGCTGTGTGGCTCCTTCAGAGAGACACCGTCATGGCGGCAGGGGCGAGGTATGGCCAACCCTAGGGCCCTAGGGCTCCAAAATGCTCCAAGTACTTCCTCAGAAGGTATGACTGGACCCTCTGAACCCACCCCAAACACATTCTCAGAAGGTACGACTGGAACCCTAGGCCAAATGCCTTTCCCTGATCGATGTATGTTTGGCCCAAAAGACTACTACCATTGAATCATGGAGCGTCGCCGTCGGACACTGACACACTCGATCATACTCGATCCCTTTGTTTCCAGATTGGAGGATGTTGTTCTCATTTGTTTTCCAGTTCCACCTCCGGAAATGAATGCAGACAACCTATTAACCAAAAAAAACAGTTCATTCACATCATGCACCGTCCAAAGGGGTGACCGATACGAGCCGAAAGTGAACCCAGGTGCAGGATCGTTACACCTACTCTCCCGCTGGCCCTGGAGCCATCGAAGCTCGCTCTTTTGAACCAGCTCCGGTGATCAGCTGCAGGGAGAAACAGATGGGAGGATGTTTTAGTATGTTTTAGCGTGTTTTGTTGGTTTAGGTTCCATGGTTTGGGGTGTTTCTTCAAGGGTTCATGCTGGATTCTGTCGTTTGGTGCGGATTCTGGGAGTTCTTCTTTTCACCAAGAAGGGGGGGGCTGGAAGATGCTGGAGTTGACACATCTTCCGGGATCCCCGAGATCCCAGGCGTGTGGAGCATCCAGTTTCTGGAATGTTTGAAGCATGAGACATGTGGAGATTTGATAAAAAAAACAACATGCAATTGTGCAAAGGGTTCAGATAGGTTCGGCCTACTCACTCCAAAACTGCTACCTTGCACCATCCATGTCAACACCTTCCATGTCAACACCAGGGAAGTTGATTGAAACATCACATTCCAAAAACTATTATGCCGCTAAAAGGGGAGAGAAATGAAGGGGAATGACAAGTGCAGGGCTGTGTCATCTCACTCTGTGGCCATCTTAGGAAGGACTGCGCTTGGTCTATGGAAGGGGCAAAGTCTCCCCGAAGGAGCCTCAAACAATGCCGCCGACACCACCAATGAGTTGGGTTTTAATATTTTGTGTAGGCATATCTTAAATGTAACATTTGCTTTGGCTGGTGTGACGTGTGGAAGGGTCAAATATGGTCAAAGCAATGTTTGCCTAGCTTTTTTGGTTTTGCCCGCAGCTGCTCACCAGTCAGTTGGACAGCAGTTTGTTCAAAAACTGTTTGTGAAGAAGATACCCCAACACGTGTCTTGGTAACTTTAACCTCAGGGCATTTCTTCCAACTGATTGTTCTGCGCTTCAAACGTCCGAGGACAAGCGCCTTCACCTTCCCTCGCCATCTTCTCCTTCACCTTCCCTTCACTTCCCTCACCTTCACCTTCCTTCACCTTCCCTCACATTCTTCCTCCGTGTTGGTCGCTGGTGTGGGCACTAGAAAACTCCTCCCACCTGGTATCTTGGTGGGCAGGAGGCGGTGCCGTTGATGCGGAAAATCCTGGCGCAGAACCACTTGTGGCACTTTGATCCCACCGAGTTGGACACTCGGACAAATCGGAGAAACGGATCGTTTCACGCGTCCGCCTCAAGGGCGGAAGGTTGAAACCCTTGTGGGTATTGGAAGGAGCGCAGAGAGAACTTGGGATCATGAGATGCAGTGAGATGACTTGACACCTCCAATTTCGGGTCGTCCCATACCCCACCTTTTTGGAAGGGTGTATACAGTATGATACAATATACAGATACAATACGGACACACATGATCCATGGGTCCATCTAAGCAGGAAGAAAATAACTTTGATGATCCCAACTCTGATGCTGGACATCGTTGGCAATGCGAACGCGAACAGCTGGCGACGGCATCACCTAGTCTCCTGCTAGCTCAAAATGTACCCTCCATTGGCATCCATTGGCCACGCCTTTTCTACAAGCAGTGGTGCTACTCAAAAATTCGACCACCTCACTTCTGCGAAGCTCCAGGGTTCTCCCAAATTCAATATCAGGCCAGATGCGAGCAATGATACTAGCCAAATAACAACCAGGAAAGCGTGTATGGATGGCACACCTTAATTAGTTAATCAGTGTCATTTTTCCCATGAGCAAACACGCGATTTCTTTCTCGTCATTCCCATGATTTGGCGGCCTTGCGGTTGCGCTGCACTGCATTCATGTTGAGGTTCATGATTATGTATACCCCTTCGTTCTACCTCTCCTTGCCTTCCTGTCCTTTCTGTTTGTCACATGTCCTTTCCAATTCCTCATGATGATCCCTCACGTCCTGCCTCAGGAGCTCCACGATGTTCAATTCATGTTGTGCGAGCTCCAAAAGTTCTTGCACCGCGGGGCCAGCCTGCGCGACTACGCTGGCCTGCCCTGTTTTCTGGGAGCACGAGACTGTAGGAGCAGAGGATACCGATGGTGCCAGGAACCGAACGGTGACCAACAAAGAAAACACTGATTATACAATTTCCTTTTCTTTTTTTGTTGATCCAGTGGAACAATATATTTTTACCTGCCTACTATCCTGAAACAGAGCATGTAACCAAGGCATACTAAGACTGTGATGTTGTATGTTGTTGTATCACCTCTTGCCTTGTCCAGCCGTCCTTGGACTTGGACTGCTTTGGGGCCTTCCAGCTCATGTTCTAATTAGTAGGAGAGGCCAAAACGCGACTGGAGATTTAATGTCGACGTTTGATTAATAAAACCGCCATTTGAATTGTCTCCATATGGGGGTTTATGAATCAAGAGTCCACATTGCAGGCACTTAATTATATTCAAAAGATTGGCACTCACCTGTGGAAAGAATGGGCATGCCCATGGACTATAAAGTCTTTTTAGTGAGTCACAGTGTAGACTATCATATACGTACGGCCATGTACTGCCCATTTTGCCCTGGTCGCACCCGGCCAAAGAAAAGAGCAATGCTCCAGAAATGGTTTCATTGGTTATACCGCGCTCAGGACTCTTTTTGGCTCAATTCCCACATGGTGGTTTGAACCAGGAGTTCTGAGGGCTCTACCCAGTTGGTCAGTTGTTTGCTGGCAGGAGAACTTTTGGAATTTTACCCAGAACCAGGTCAACTTATAAGTATGACATGAACCCAACCGGTCACGGAAAATGGATTTCGATTGTTTTCCTGAGGCTTGCAAGGCTTACCTTTGAGCTATCACTTCATCAAGGAACGCTTGGCGCCTGGACGACGTGTTCACACCGTGGACGGCACGGGACGGGACGGTTGTGCCATGGTCACACGGAACGACTGTAGTTGTGACAAGTCGTTCGGAGAGAAGAAGATGAATACGTCTTGGAGAGTCAATAGTGAAGGTTTTGTTGCTCAGTTGAATTTATCCATGCATATGGCGCCATAGTCAAACAGAAAGATGCGGAAAGAATTAGACTACAGATGACTACCGTATGTTTGTTGCCTACAGCTGCAGGCACCCTATATACTTCCCCCAAGATACACTTTATTTGGGGTTTGCCTAGCTGTCGAAAGCCTGAGCAAAAGGACAATTGGAAGAGGACAATGACAGCATTGACTGTTCCCAGAGGATATATACGCATACCACGACTCTTCACTTTCCTGAAAGCCACACCAATTCGCGATCATTGGTGGATAGATCCAGAAATAACTTGAGATCCGTTTGGAGCATGGGCGTGTATGCACTAGATTGCACCCAAAGTAGAATGAAGAGACAGATTTCAGTCTCTGGAATCATCATGGAAGTGGAAAATGGCCCCCTTGGGGTCAATGTAGGTCATATTTCCTTGCATGGATCGTGTGATAAGGTTGAAGGGCTCTTTGATGTGCTGTGCATCTTGGGATCTAGGGCCTAGGGTTGGTCATGGATGTCTAGAATTTTACAAGTGATGCTGTCGTTCGTGATTGTGGGAGCCATCCAGGTATTCTCCTTGCTCGGCCTTGGCCAAGGAAGAAGCCTTAGTGTTGGACTTGATCCGTGCCAATGCCTTCGAATCGGAGAATCTCATTCGGGTTGAGATGGTGGTCCTGTGGGGTTGGGGAGGTGGTTCAGATTCCTTTTGCAGTCCATCATGTGATTTCATGCGATGTCTCTTTTTGTAATTCATCAGTTTCTTTGGGTCACGAGACCTCGTGTTTTGTTGACATCTATAAAGTCAACATTGTGCTCAACCACGCAAATTATTTCAAAAATACATATAATATATTTGTTTACTATAAATATATATATATTGTTCCATTTACCTGGACCCATTTTCCGAGATACTTTGAGACTCCAGGTACAGTACTATCATTTACTTCCAAGTACCTGGAGTCTCAAAGTATCCCGGAAAATGGGTACAGTACAATTTATGTATACTGTACTGTACCTGTT